GTAGGCTCGGTGTGGAACGCCCCAGGGGAAGGCCTGTAAGTAGGGGACAAGGCAGGGAGAGCCATGCCCCGGGGCGGGGGGGACTGGTCTCCAGTGACCACTGTGACAAAGGACCATGAGTTTGCTATCATAATGCAACAGAAATACTTTCCTTACAATTCTGGAGGCCAGAAGCCAAAATGACGCCCCCTTGGGGGCCCCTGGCCTCTGCTCCTGCCTCTTGGGGGGATGCTGGCATCCGGCCTCCTGCCCTCCTGCCCGAGTGGCCGTGACCCTGCCACGTCGTTGGCTTCACCTACACGTGGCCTCCTCCTCTTCTGTCTCTCAGGTCTCCCTCTGTGTCTTCCTTACAAGGATGCTGATGACATTTGTGGCCTGCCCCCAAATCCAAGATAATCTCATCTCAAAGTCTTTAACTGAATGACATCTGCCATGTGAGTCTCCCTCCCTCCCCCTCCCTCTTCCTGGGTATTTTCGCACACACACCCTTTTTCTGCTTCCCCCAGACAGGCTGGAGAACACTCAGAATCAATGAAGGATGGGGAGAGCCAGCAGGGCAGCAGCCCCCCGACTCGCAGCCCGAGCTGAGTCATAGGCAGAGAACGATCTCGGACACCCCCAGGCTGAGGTCTGCTGCCCCTGTGAAAATGACAACAAGCAGGACCTGGGGGTGCTGGGTCCCCAAACCATGCAATTGTGAGCATCAGGGTTCCCAGGCAGGTGTCATGCCCCCAACTCCCCAGCACAGAGGCTCAGGGCACCCCCTTTCATTCACTGCCAGAGTCCTTCCTGGGCGGGCTCTCATTCTCTCCTCCGATCCCCACCAACCTCCCCAAAGCTTCCTCCAAGGTGCAGCCTTGCAAAGCCACGGGTCATTCATCCCTGATTTTCACTTACTTCCTTTGCACACTGTTTCCATCATTAGAAAGCCATTAGCACGAGGCAGTGCTGGGGGAAGGGGTCCCCTAAGTTGGGCCTCATGGAAAGATGCTTGTTTATAACCAAGACCTCTGGCCCCCGGGGCAGACCCCAGTTGCATTCCTGGCTCATTTTGTGTTTTCAGGAATTAGGATCTTCCCAGCACCCCCTCTCATTATTTCATCTGCCTTCATGTGTCTTACTCACCCTGCCGCAGCCCACGGAGTCTGTGAATTCTTTCTCTACTAATGCAGTCCTCAGGACGTGTCTGTGCATGTGGCTGGGTGGGATAGCTTGGCTAACGTGAAGGAACGTAACCCGTAATCAGCAACTTCAAATGAGACAGTTCTGCTTGCCGCCCAGGCTGTCTGATGCCTGTCTCCGCAGCTTTGCGGGGGGCTCTGAGCTCAGCGGCGTGGCCTGCTGGACTCCTGGCTGGGGTCACCACCGCCAGCGGTGCTGGCACCATGGATAGGGACGGGGAGCCTTGGAAGGTCCCTCTTGGGAAATTAAGTGTTCCCACGAGGAGGTGACACGTGGCTCCTGCTCCCAACTTGTTGTTAAGAGGGTCCCGTCCCTAGCAACATGTGAGCTAGAAGCACAGCCCCACTATGCGCCCAAACTAGGGCCAGATGCTGCTGGCAAGCCGTCGTGCTCCCTGCCACGTGCGGACTCTGGCCGTGCACGGAAACCCGGAGAAGTGTAGGGGCGGAGATTCACAGACCCTGCCGTCAGACAGCTGGTGCTCTTATTACTTGCCATGAACACTTTGTGCTTGCACACACACATGCATGTGTGCACATGCACACACAGGCACACCCAGAAACACGCGCATGCGTATACCCGCACACGCACACATCTGTGCACATACTACACACACATGCACACACAGGCACACCCAGAAACACGCGCATGCGTATACCCGCACACGCACACATC